GCCTTAGTTTAAATTTGTGTTTCAAAGGAAGCTGAAGACTGTGCTGTTCTTAAGTGTGGCCTCGTAGACTTGGGCTAGTGTTGTGAATCATACTTAGGAGCTTGGATCATTTGTTTTTCTAGCAAAGCTGGAGTGGGAGGATATGGACTCCAGTGTGGTAAATGAGGAACAGCTGGAGATTGTGTTCAAACTTGTAAATCTGGAACAGACGGAGGAGCAAGAGGAAATGCTTGTTTGAAAGACAAAGCAATGATGATCCTTGTTGGTTAGGGTGGTTAAGTCAGAGAATCCACTATTAGTACCAGCAATAACTATGCAAGAAATGTCAGTATGTCAACTCTTTCACACTGTTGTACGATGGCAAGACTGGGGCATAACGGTATTCTGCAATCTTTACAAGGGCTGATTCCAATATCTCATCATACAATTCAGTCTCTGTATTATAATAAATACCTGATAACTTGATTCTGGCTTAACTATCACTACCAGTTAAGTCAGAGTGACTGCTGAGAGTCGGATGCCCTATTTGAGAAACGACCACGCAAAATAAATATTTTTGTGTTTACTTTCCAAAAACATAAACCACAGGAATCATATCGAAGTCCTATATTTTAAGTTGTGTAACTAAATATTTTAGTTACGGTGCAAACTTTAAAGAGGCAATGTAAAAATGTCGTACAAATTTTAAAACAATAATGCAGCCAGCGATGCGATATCTGTGTGTGTCTCTTTCTATCTGCATGTGTCTCTGTATTTGTGTGTGTCTCTCTGTGTGTGTGTGTATGTGTCTCTCTCTTTGTCCGCATGTGTCTCTGTATCTGTGTGTGTGTCTATCTGTTTTATGTGTCTCCGTATCTGTGAGTGGTCAAAATGACAAATGACATTCTGTCTATCTGCAACCAGAGCTCCCTCTGCCTCCTCGTCCTCCTTGACCTCTCTGCTGCCTTCAATACCGTTGTATCCTCTTCCACCGCCTCTCACCTCAACCTTCATGATTCTGTCCTTGACTGGTTCAGATCGAACCTCTCACACTGTCTCCACTTCATCTCCACAAATGGTTTCTCCTCTAAACCCCGCACCATCTCGTGCGGCGTTCCTCAGGGGTGTTCAATATCTATATGCTCCCTCTTGGTGACATCATCCGCAGACATGGGGTCAACTCCCACATGTATGCGGATGACACCCAACTCTCTCTCTCTGCCTCCACTGTTGACCCCAGGACCCACTGCTGTCCTGTCAGAATGTCTGTCAGACATCAAGTCCTGGATGAGAACAAACTTTCTTCAGTTGAACGTCAACAAGACCGAGGCTTCTGATTGACTCCCGTCAGCGCCTCTTCACCTCAGGCGCTGACAGCATTACCATCCCTGGGGCTCACTCCCCCTCACTGAGCCAGTCCCGAACCTTGGGGTCTTGTTTGACCCTCAGCTGTCCTTTCTACCCCACATTTGTGCCATGACCCGCTCTGCCTTCCCCACCTCCGCAACGTCACCCGGTTCCACCACTGTCTCACGCCGCAGGCCCTGAAATGCTCATACACGCATTCATAACATCCAGACTTGACTATGAAAACTCATTGCTTGTCGGCCCCAACTCCTCCCTCCACAGACTGCAGATCATCCAGAACTCTGCAGCCCGTGTCCTCTCCCGCACCGGCTCCCTGACCCTATCACCCCCATCCTCGCCCGACTCCACTGGCTTCCCATCACACAGAGGGTACAGTTCAAGATCCTGATTCTCACCATCAAAGCCCTCCATGGCTTTGCCCTCCCCCCCCCCCCCCCCCACCACCTCTGCGACCTCCTAACCTTCCCAACGTGAAAGGCGCTATACTAATGTAATTTTGTTGTGTCTCTATCTGATTCTGTGTCTCTATATCTCGTGTGTCTCTCTCTGTCTGTATGTGTCTCTGTATCTGGGTGTGTCTCTCTATCTGCATTTGTCTTTGTGTGTGTGTGTATGTCTCTCTGTCTGCATGTGTTTCTGTATCTGTGTGCGTCTCAGCATGTGTCTCTCTGTCCGTGTGTGTGTGTGTATCTGTCTCTCTCGGTCTCTGCTGTTTTTCCCATGGGGTCAGACCAAGCCTGTGCTCTGGACACACAGTGCAACTGTTAGCGGGCTGGATTGAATCATGCCTTGGGCCGGATGCAGCCCACGGAACAGATGGACCACCCTGATTTAAGTGATCATGATGTCAGTATCCCAGCCACATTTACTTATACATATGTATGCTTAACTTGCCACTCCAAATAACTCATCACTGAGCCCTTTTCCCTTGGGGTGATGAGTTATTAGGAGTTTACTGTAGTTTGCGCCTCTGTTTACGTCGCAGTAAGTAAGAACACGATTGTTAATGATTGTTTTTCTGGGAGTAATAATCCCTTTTTTAAAAAAATGTGGTCACTCAATCCACGATTGTTTGTGGGACACTGCTGTGCCCAATTGGCTACCGTTTCGTCCACAGCAATTCACTTTACAGTATATTCTGTGAAGCGCTTTGAAATGTCTTGAAGACGAGATAAGGTGCCATATCAGTTGCAAGGATTGTTATTATTATAACTTTGTTAGACACTTACAATTTTAATTGGCCTATAACTGCTGAAGCAGAAAAACAGACCAGGAGCAAAATCACCTAGTTATTTGGGTGCATCTCCCAGTCCGAGCAGATTCGGGTTCAATTCCCGACTGGGGCGAAACCTTAGGACAGTTTTCTTTCTCCACACGGCTCTGTTTACCATGCAGTAAGTAGGAACTGGTTGTTAATCGATTGGTGGATGGCTTTCTGGCGGTAATAATCACTAAATAAATAAGTAAAAATCTGGTCACTCAATCCGCGATTGTTTGTGGGACACTGCTGTGCACAATTGGCTGCTGCATTTTGACCGCAAAATACAGTCAATCCACTTTACAGTTCACTCTGTGAGGCACTTTGAGACCTCACAATGAAGTGGTCAAGCGCTATATCAAATGAAAGGATTATTAATGTTATTGTTATAGTCAATCTTCCAAGACTGGAAGTAGCAATGGGTGGGGAGGCCACGAGAAAAGAAGGGAAGGAAAGAGATATAATTCTTAAGAACTGGTTGCTAATAATGGCAAAAGGTCCTTTACCTGGATCTATAGGGTGAAATACAGAATGATGAGAGAATGCCTTAGCTGACATTGTGCAGTGCACGTGCCGGGAATTTGTTTCCTGCTGATTAAGAAAAGTGGCACACATCTCAGGAATGAAAAGCGTTCATCAGCACAGCAAGGATACAGTGCATTTATGTAACATCTGTCATTGTGCATTAGCAGCAAGCCTGCGCAAAATTACTAGAATTTTTGACAGAAAAGGTGATTTGAGGCCAGGACGCTGGACTGGGCTCATTAATCCATGACTGTTTGTGGGACGCTGCTGTGTGTAATTGGCTGACAAGTTTCGCTCACAAAATATACAGTCACTACACTTCACAGTATATTCTGTGAATAGCTGTGAGACGTCTCAATGACTTGATAAGGCGCTCGACTTCAAGATCCTCACTCTCGTGTTCAAATCCATTCACTCCCTGGCACCTCCCTACCTCTCCGACCTCCACACTCCCCACCTCTCCGACCCCCTCACTCCCCAATCCACCATCTGGCGCCGCCTTTCGACTGGCACCAGTTCCAGCGCCTTGGGACGTCCTCCCGACGTGAAAGGCGCTCAATATATGGAATCTTGTTGTTGTTGTTGCTTGTCACACGGACCCTCAGCCCCACCATTAGGGTCGCGCTTTCAGCCACTACGTCCTGAAACTCTGGAACACTGTCCCTCAATCCCTCGCCTTGCCCCCCCGCTCTCACTTCTTTCAAGTCCCGCCTGAAAACTTTCCTGATCGACCGTGCTTACAGCCACCTCCCCCTCCCCCCGGCTCGGAGTCAGGCTTCACCACTGTTAAGCGCTCTGAGACGCTGCCTTGCGTGGAGGGCGCTATATAAGTGCAAGTTGTTGTTGTATATCAAATGCAAGGATTATTATTAAAAAGCAATTTGTTACTGTGATGGGAGGGTGTTCCGGAAGGATGAGATTGGATGGCTCAAAGGGCCTTCTTCATCCAAACCAATTTTGTGATCTTGTGAACTGGAGGTGGGTAGGGAAGAAGGCCAGGGACAAAGCTGTCTCAATCACCCGGCCTCCACTATTGTTTTTGGTAGAGAAATCATAAATATCACAAACATTTCTGAGTGTGCGTGATGTGCCACACAAGTATAAGTGGTCATGTACCACTTATGGCTAATGATGTGCATATGTGTGGAACATCAATTGTAATTCGAATTCAAGATCCTCATCCTCGCCTGCAAGGCCATTCACGGCCTCGCTCCCTCCTACCTCTCTGACCTACTATCCCCCTACCTACCTGCCCGTACCCTCCGTTTCTCTGGCTCCGGTCTGCTCCACATCTCCCGCCCCAACCGCCCGACCATCGGTGGTCGGGCCTTCAGCCTCTCAGCCCCCAGGCTCTGGAACTCCATCCCCCAGTGCCTTCGCCGCGTCCTCCCTTTCCTCCTTCAAGGCCGGTCTCAAGACCTTTCTCTTTGACTGTGCCTTCAGCTCCCCTCTCGACTCTCTACCCCCTCCTCGCTCCCTCCCTTCCCTCCCCTCACCCTGACCATTTCCCCCTCCTCGCTCCCTCCCTTCCCTCCCCTCACCCTGACCATTTCCCCCCTGCTGGGGTCCTGACCCAACTGTACTGCGCCTTGGGACGTCCTCCCGACGTGAAAGGCGCTCTATAAATGGAATCTTGTTGTTGTTGTAATGCAAGCTATTTATTCCAGTGCCAATGCCCCCTCCCCTGGAAAGTGGTGGCAGAATTCACAAGTGTAAATAAGAGTGTCACAGAAGAAGCAGTGTAAACTTCATTTCGGATATGTATTCCATGCTGCAGTTTTCACTATTGCAGACGAGATTTATTTTCACACGCCCATAATTTAGCTTATTTATTATGTGACTTACATCCATCTCCCCACGCTCTGCTCAGTGTCCAGCACCATCTCTGTAAATCACTCCCAAGATGTTACTGGCCACAAAGGGCGCTGTATAAATGTAAGTTTTTTTTAAACTCATTAGTTATGCAAAATAGTATTGCACCGTAATTCTTCTTTCAACAATGAATTGGTGCAAATGGTGAATTTGTTTTCCATCCATTCCCCAAGAATTAGTATTGGTACTGTATAGTATAATAATAATAATCCTTTGCCTTTTCATGTCTTAGAGATGTCTCAAAGCGCTTCCACTTGACTAACAACCAGGTTCCTTACTGCTAGGTAAACAGAGGCGTGTGGAAAGTGAATTAACAGTATATTTTGTGGGCAAAACGCAGCAACTATTTGAACACAACAGTATCCCATAAACAGTAATGGATTGAGTGAACAACAGTATTTTATTTTTGGGAGGGATTATTTCCCCAGAAAGCGATTCGCCAATCGACTAACAACCGGGTTACTACTTACTACTAGGTAAATAGAGGCGTGTGGAGTAAGGAAACTTGCCTAAGGTTTTGCCCTGCCCAGGAATCGAACCTGGGTCTTCTCACTTACGAGGTAAACCCGCTAACCACTGTGCTACTGGGCTCCTACTTTTCACCATCCACCAGACCCTACCTCCCTCAGAATCTTTCACAGTTAGGGCTTGGGCCTTAAAGGATTGAGGACTTGTCTACACTTTCAGATCACCTCTGGGTTAATGCCGCCTTGCCAGGCGGGTTGCCTCTGAGCCAGCTCAGGACCTGGGACACATAGCTTTACTGACCTCCATAATCTGAAAGATTATCTTCAGTGCTGGTTTGATTGTTTTGAGATTTAAAATGAAATGCTGGGTTTGATTAAACTAATGCTTGCTTTGTCCTTTTGCAGCTACAATATCAATTGTCGAAAATGACGGAGGAGGCACCGGGCTACCAGCTTACAGAACATAAACCACTGCTGGTAAGGAAGTCTTTCTCAAAACATTTATTGATTTTTAAACTAGTCACTTTGTATTAAAGTGAAATATCTTTGTATGAAAGGTAAATGGTGAAATTTGAAATGATAATAATAAATAATAATCCTTGCATTTGACATAGCGCCTTATCACGTCTTCGAGATGTCTCAAAGGCCTTCACAGGATATACTGTAAAGTGGATTTACTGTATATTTTGTGAGCCAAACACATTTTGTAAGTAGGAACCCAGTTGTTAGTCAATTGAAGGATCGCAGTCTGGGGGTAATAAACCCTCAGAAAAAAGTCACTCAATCTACTTACTCACAAAATAGGATAATGCTGTGAACGTTTCACCCACACAGTCAATTCACTTTACAGTATATTCTTTGAAGCGATTTGAGACGTCTCAATGACCCTACAGCGCAATATCAGATACAAGGATTTTTTATTGTCTGAGCAATGTTATGGAAAGTTGGGAACAGAGTGACAAGAAAGACCAGGAAAGAGGATGGGTGTGTTTTTTTAATTCACCATTTTGTGTCTTACAAATGTTATGATTTATTTTAAACAGGGAAATGTCCTGAACTTTGAAGAGAATGACAGTGTGGTAAGTGTTTTCCTGTTTTCTTTTTCTTGTTTCTCCTTATCTTTCGCTGAGCAGGTCAGAATGTCTGAAAGCTCACCTACTAATGGAGAGGCAGATTGGGTAGGGGACATGGAGTAGACGTCTTCAATAATTAACAATATAATTTCAATAAAAAATATTAATAATTATTTAAAATCATCAGAGCTGTTGCTTCAGCTAACTCAACACATTTGAGCCTCCGCATTCTGTTCCCTGTGTTACACAGCAAATATTTTCACTATTATTTCTAAACTATTTAGGAAGTCCCTTCCTCTTTCACTGCGGACTCTGCTTTGAGTAATTGGCTGCCGTGTTTCGCCTACAAAATATACAGTCAATTCACTTTACAGTATATTCTGTGAAGCACTTTGAGATGTCTTAACAATGCGATAAGGCGCTATATCAAATGCAAGGATTATTTTCATCAAGTGTAAGAATCTGACAGGAACAGTTTTTAATCATCAGTTTTCTAACTTGACGATGTCAGCTCTACATTTTCAACCTACCTGTGGAAAATATTGGTATGAAGACTATTTATAGAGCCTGCCATCACTTAGGATGCATGCTGTCTGCTGATGTTTGAGGAGGAGAGTGAGAAAACCCACACTACAAATTGTAAATATTTGCAGTGGTAAAACTCAGTAAACTTGCATCTGGTCATTCACTTCATAGCTGTTTGTGGGACGTTACTATATGCAAAATTGGCTGCTGTGTTCACCCACACACAAACCCCCCTATACTTTACAGTTATATGTGGGTGGAGTCTTGTATCTTAGTGCTTAGAGCACTCCCTCCCAAGCGAGAGGACCTGGGTTCGATTCCGGGCAGGGTGAAACGGGCAAGTTTCCTTACTCCACACGCCTGTTTACCCAGCAGTAAATAGGAACTCGGTTGTTAGTCATTTGGCAAATCGCGTGTCCGGGGGTAGTAACCCCTTCAAAAAAATATAATAATAATGTGGTCACTTAATCCACGGCTATTTGTGGGTCGCTGCTATGCGTAATTGGCTGCTGTGTTTCGCCTACAAAAATACAGTCAATTCACTTTACAGTATATTTTGTGAAGCGCTTTGAGACGTCTAAATGAAGTGATAAGGCGCTGTATCAATGCAAGAGTTATTATAGTTATTAAGTAACACCGGAATAATTTTATTCCACTTGCACTGATTCTGGGTGGGTAAACTGCACATTATACTGTCGCACCCTGAAGTTCTTAATCTTCCAAAACACAGAGCTGAGAGTAGTTGCAAAGTAGGCATTTTTGAGAGGATCAGATCACTATTAGAAATGGCCTTTGTTTTAATTCACCACAGTTCATCATTTGAATTCCTTGAGGAGATAACTTCAGATACAGACATACACATGAGGGCGAAAGGAATAGAACAGCCTTGGAGGGAGTTAAGCAGTGGCTAGAGACTCGTGGAGTATAAACGCTAGCATGGACTTTCGGTTGAATAGTTACCAAATTGATCTTCTTAAGTGTCTCGGGTCATAAAGAGATCAGTAACGTAGCTGGAGCTATGTACTGTTTGGGTATTCTTTTACCTACTGTAAATAAATATGCCAGCCTAAGTATCTCACAGGGTGGTCATTCGAGGGGTTCCGTAGCATAGTGATTAGCACAAGAGGACCAGGGTTCGATTCCTGGAGTGGGATTCAATATATCCGACTTAGCATTTACAAACATTATCTTAGAGACGCATTCCAAAACCACATGTTACCAGGCATGAGTGAGTGGTTAGCTTTTCTTAGTGGCGTGAGTTAATTAATGTCTTATAATCTGAGAGCAAATGAATGTGTCTAGGTCCTTAGGTTTAACCAGAAAAAAGCACCCTCACACAATTGGGCTGTGTTATAACTTTGAAGTACATGAAGCAGAACGCCTGGTTAAGATTAAACCTGAATGTTCAATCTCAGAGTTTCCAATACAAGCATTGAACTACAGTCTGAATCCAGAGTTTCATTGGAGGTTTAATTTGATCCATGGAGAAAGTGACTGAAGGGTGACATTATTGGTGGTTAGAACCATCTCTGTGTTTTCTATATTTAAAAAAAATTGGAGGCTGTACTTTCTGACCTCCACCCTAAAATTTCACAAGATCAGAAGATTAGTTTGGATGAAGAAAGCTGTTTTGCCCATCTGATCTCATCCTTCCAGACTACCCACCCTTACCATCCTTCCATCACAGTATCAAGTTATTTTGTTTTTATAACAAATCCAGTGTCCTTGTCTCATCCACGCTTACTGGCAACTTAATCCAGTGGTTTTAAGTTGCCAGTAATAATAATAATTCTTGCAATTGATATAACACCTCATAACATTGTTGAAATATCTCAAAGCACTTCACAGAATATACTGTAAAGTGAATTGACTGTATATTTTGTGGGCAAAATGCAGCAGCCAATTGCGCACAGGACTGTCCACAAACAGTCATGGATTGAATGACCACATTATTCCTTTTATTAATTTTGAGGGATTATTACGTCTGGTAAAGCAATCCACCAATCGACTTAACAACCGGGTTCCTATTTGCTGTAAGGAAACTTACCTAATGTTTCCACCCGCTCGAGAATCGAACCCAGGAATGGATTGATTCCCTTCCCCCTTCACTTCATCAAAGTCTTTCTGAGCACAAAATGACTGAATACAAGGCTCCACAGTCTGTTCTAAAAAGTTGGAAGCAAAGGGTCACATGCTGAGTACATGCTGTTTGGTTCTGTTTTCATGGTATAAATCTAACAGTGTTGTGACAGGCTATGGCAGCAGAGGGCTCTTGGCAGAGGAGCGCTCAGAGGAATGGTGCCACATTGCTATAAATATGCAGTTTTATTTCACATTTTAAACCTTGGAAAACAGGGCAGTGCAGGAAGTGCTGCTGATATGTATTCTGACATAAGGTAGCAAAAATGCTCAAAAGTGCTTCCTGCCAAATACATTTCCAGTAGTTGTCTGAGGGAAATTATATTGTACCGAGAGGAGCCTGCTGTGGAGGAGGCGGTGAGAGAATAGAGCGGAAACAAACTCTTCCTTCCACTTGTTATAACAAGAATTTGCATTTATACAGCGCCGCTCACGCAGGGCAGTGTCCCAGAGCGCCTGACACTGGCGGAGCACGACACCAAGCCAGGGGGAGATGAGTGTAAGCATGGTCGAAAAGGAAGGTCTTCAGGCAGGACCTGAAGATGGAGAAGGAGGGGGCAAGGCAAATGCATAGAGCGAGAGTGTTCCAGAGTTTCAGAGGTTATTGGCTGAAAGTGAGGCCACTGATGGTGGAGTGGAGGGCATGAGGGACAAACAGGAGGCTGGAGCCGGTCGAGTGGAGATAGCGAGTAGTGACTTGTGGAGTAAGCAGGTCGAAGAGGTAGGGAGATGTCAGGGCATGAGGAATTTGAAGATGAGTGAGAGGATCTTGAAATCGATCCGTTCGGTGTTAGGGAGCCAGTGGAGCCTGACGAGGACTGGTGAGATGGGGGTACGGAGTTTAGTGCAGGTGAGTAAGCGGGCGGCGGAGTTCTGGATTTTGTGGATAGTGGTGCTGGGAGACTGGTGAGAAGGGCATTGGAGTAGTTGAGGCATATTAGTTGTATTTATAATAAATAAGAATCGCTACACTAAATTATAGGCCTTGATAGTGCCTTTAAATTATTGTGGAGTCCTGCAGCTTAATGGTTAAACGCTTGCCTCGCAAGCAAAAGGACCTGGGTTTGATTCCCAGGCAGGGCGAAATGTTGGACAAGTTTCCTTACTCCACATGCCTCTGTTCACCTAGCAGTAAGTAGGCACCCGGTTGTTAGTCGATTGGCTACAATAACCCCTTAAAAAAAATAATAATTTGGTCACTCAATTCACGACTGTTTGTGGCACATTGCTGTGTGCATTTCACCCACAAAATACACAGTCAATTTACTTTACGGTATATTCTGTGAAGCACTTTGAGACGTCTTGAAGTCGTGATAAGGTGCTGTATCAAATGTAAATATTGTTGTTATAGGCACTTAGTTATTGGTAAATGTCCACTAGGCGGCAGTATCCAACTGAATAGAGCCCAGAAACCATCATCATCAGGACTGAACCACTGGTTACCACACCATCCAAAATGCAATACATTAAACCATCTTTAATCCAACCAAACAGCTCTTGCACTACTATTGTCAATAACCTATATTTTATTGAAAGTTTAGAAATGGGGAATGAAAATCCTGGAAGTGCATTATTGATGTCCAATATTTCTTCCTCTGTCTTCTCTTCCCCATTACGCTCGCCCCTCCTGCTCAATAGAGTGGTTAGAGCACTCACCTCTCAAGTGAGAGGACCTGGGTTTGATTCCTGGGCAGGACGAAACTTTGGGCACGTTTCTTTACTCCACACGCCTCATCATCTAGCAGTAAGTAGTAACCAGATTGATAGTCATTTGGCGGATCGCTTTCCAGGGGTAATAATCACTTCAAAAAAAAAATAATAATTTGGTCACTCAATCCACGATTGTTTGTGGGGACACTGCTGTGCGCAATTGGCTACTGCATTTCGCCCACAAAGTATACAGTCAATTACCTTTTCAATATATTCTGTGAAGCACTTCGAAGGCGCTATATCAAATGCAAGTATTATTACAAGAATTATAAATTGCAAGAATAGTAAAAAGAATTTTTCAAATGCAGATTGTTGTATGTACCTGAATGTGTCTGAAGCTCTGCTTGGATGCTGTTCTCTAGTTTGGCTGAACTGCAACCTGCACCTCAGCCAAGCTCCAGAGCTGCTAATTATAAATCCTACCACGATTCAACTGGGGTGTCCAACACTAAGCACAAATCTGAGGATACATCAACCTGAGCTTCTCTCCACATTTAATGGCTGGAGAGTTGTATAGAGGAATGGAAAGCAAAAGGGTCCAGGATTCTGGAATCATAAAATAAAGGTTAAAATTCAGTAAGCCATAAAAATCTCAAAAGGTAAAGATTGTTTGCATAGGAGGAAAGATGTTA